GGATCCAGCACCCTCTTCTGACTTCCGCAGGCATTGTGTGACATGTGTATTTATATACATGCAGGAAATAAACTCATTCACATAAAATTAAAAAATAATACATGCATAAGGAATACAAATGACATTTTTCTAAAAATGTTGAAAGACCATGAAAGTGTCAATGAATTCTAAATGAAAGAAATGAAAATGTAAATTTTCTTAAGAATGACAAAGATTAAGAGAAGACCCATTTAGTGGTATACTGTACCATTTTTATCATTTTGTAGAAAGCAGCAGTGTCCTAAAGTTTTCTCAACACAGTTGTAGAAACCTTTTTCTTTCAAATGTCTATAATTTACTGGAAAAGTACAGCAGTAAAGTCTGCAGTGTTTGAAGCTGTGGGGCTAGGTAGCCATCTCTTTTTTACTGTTAACTCTTCAGTGTAAATTGCATCATTACATAATTTGTATTGGGCTTTATTTTATCATTAAATCATGAGCATTTTCCATATTGCTAAATGGTTGTTATAATTATCATTTTAATGGCTTCATTATATCCTATCAAATTTATTCCATTATAATTTCCTTAGTCATTCCTCCTTTATTAGACATTTAAGGTTTTATTTCCCTCAAATTTTGATTATTACATATAACATTGGCATAATTTACATTTTTATGCATATAGCTTCACTTTTATTTTCAATCCGTTCATTAGGGATAGTTCCCTAAAGTGGCATTATTATGTCAAGTGTTATTGAGTACTTTCCCAAAAGGTGTGAATCAATTTATATTCTAACAGACATTTTGATATCCAACAATCTTTGGCATAAAGAGAGGTCAGGACTATGTATTACAGATTTGAATACATACTTAGTAATTTTCTGTGTATAAGATATTTTTATTTAAAAAGGTGAAATTGAGCTTGTTTCTGCAATAATTTATTTCAATGATTATTTTTCTTCTTTTGCTCACCAATTACCAGTACTTAACTGTTTAAATCTATGCGTTTTATACTCTCTGTGTCACTCACATCTAACAAATATTCTTTGGGTACATGGCTCTCAAGAAACACAGTTGATTATTGTGCCAGTGAACTGCATAAACTACTACCTTGAATAAAGAAGGACTTGTATGTTCTAGCAGGTTTGGGATCAAAATATCAAGGTGGGACATACCGTCATCTCATCTGACTCATTTCTAACCTCTTTTCTCTTGTCCTTCTCTCTTAAAAACATGGAATAAGCTAAAATGCTCTGATACCAGACTGTTATAAAGCTGGGGGTGGCTCTATGACTCTCTTCTGTCCAGTAAAATGTAAGCAAAAACATTTTAGTGGCTTCTCTCATCTCCTGTTCCTTTTCCTTTTTTGATGATGTGCTACATGGAGCTAGAGCAGCCTCTTTTCAGTCAGAAGAAAACTAGAAGAATGGCAGATGGTGTAGCCTTGAATTTAAGTTGTTGAAATAATGCCACGAACCTTCTACCACCCCCTTAATTTATGGACTATGAAAAACAAATTATTTATTTAAAATGAATTACTTTTCTATTGTTGGAATAAAGCACTGTGACCAAGGGAATTTATAGAAGGAAGCGTTTATTAGAGCTTATGGCTCCAGAGGGATCAGATTCCAGGGGAGCATGGTGGCATGGGTGGCTGGAGTAGAAAGTTTAGTGCTAACATCTTGAAGAAGGCACAGGAAGCAGAGACAGGGACTGGACATCTGGTCAGGTTTAAGAACTCTCTATAAGCCCATGCCCAGTGACATGTTTCCTCCAGCCAGGCCACACATTCTAAGACCTCCCAAAACAGTGCCACCAACTGGGGACAAGATGTTCAAATACTTAGAGAGCCTAAAGGGGACATTCTCATTCAAACCACCATACCAGTGTAGTCAGAATTTGTTATTAGCCATGGGACAGAATTACTAGTTAAATCATCTGAACCTGCTGTTAAAGAAGAAAGTTGATTTTCTATTTTATTTTTTTCTTTAATAATTAATTAATTTTTGAGACAGATTCTGCCTATAGCCCCAGCTGGCCTAGAACTCGCTACGTAGAACAAGTTGGCCTCCATTTCAGAGCTCTACCCCTCTGTGCCTCTGCCTAGTAGTGCTGGAATCGATTAAAGGCACTCTGCCTCCTCTCCCAGCTTTTACTTTTAATGTAACATAAATACAACTCTCTTTAAAAACTTACTACTGTGAGCTCAGTATATCTAACCATAGTAGAAGTCAGAAATCTGGTTTCTCATATCATACCCAGAGATAAGGATCATCTTCCATGAACAAAAATAATTCTTTTAAATGTTCATGAATTGTGACAAGAAAACATAATTTGAAGGCACTCATGAATTCTCTATGCTGACCAAATGCAAATGTCCTTTGCGCCCAAAGGACAAACTGCCAGAGCTTTGTGGTCTTGTTTGTTTATTATCAGGCATGGAAAATGTGCAATCTGATGGGTGTATATTTCATGCCTGGGATTTAGTGTTAAGTAAGAAAGAGGTACTACTCAATCCTGGTCCTTGAAGATTCATTTCCAGACTAGATCTTGAAAGTGAGAAGGGGTCATTTATGTAAACAAATAGTATTTTTTGATGCTATATGAAAGTAAATTAATAAAGTAGAAAGAAAAGCCAATTGAGGGCAAAAGGATATAGCAGACTTGCTCAGGTCTAATAGCTAATAAAGTGATACAAGTTCCTTTAGTTTTCCAGACTAGTGTTTTTATGATGCCAACTATTGCCTGGTATAAGCAGGCCAGCACTGGAATAAGGAGCAGTTTTCACATTATGTTATTATGCACTGCTGCTGTGTAGAGGTGGACTGGTGGTGATGAAATGGCCTCAGCCCATTAATAGTCTGAGCAGTATGGTATTTGTTTCCCTCAGGACTTGTGTCATCCTGTGCCAGATTTCCAGTGTGGAAGGGGTGTGTTACCTCTGTGGGAGGGGCTAGAGTTTTGCTCACATTTCTTGTAGACTTTCCCAGGGCCAGAAGTGTGTGATACGGACTTCCTTCTTCCTGACACAGCCCAGCCCTTCTCTAAGGAAGAAGAGAGACTATACAAGACTGGGCAAAGAGTCAGACCTTACAATTTCAGACATGGAAAGGGACTAAGGGATTTTTCTCTCTTTTTAGAAAGTGTTCTTTTGTGGACTTACGGAAAAAAAAGCAATTTGTTCAACATCCGTCTTTCCCTTGTACTGTTGCTGTTTACAGAGGAACTTGCTTCCTTCACCTCTGACGTCATGTCTCCTTTCTTTAGGAAACAGGTGTCAGAACAAGCAACAAATCCAATTTTCAAGCAGCTAAAACAGACTTCAGACTTTCTGAAAGTCTTCTGTGAGGCTTGGGGCTTCCCACTTTACAATTTTTGAGGGCTTATTTGGGGGTGAGAGGGACGTTTATATGAATCTTTAAAAAAATTATACTGCCCTATTTTTGTTCTCTATAATATAACACTGTTATCTGACTGTGAAAGTCTGTATTTTATTTTTACTTGAAATAGTGATTGTACATATTAATGGCGTACAGTGCTATAGTCTGGTCCATGTCTGATGATCAAGCAGGTTAATAATTATCACATCTATTTCATCACATATGTACAATGTTTTCTGCTGGTGAATTCAAAATCTTGTTATTTTGAAATATATAATAGTCAACTAGTAAATCGAATGCAACCTATTATTTTGCATGGTTACTACATTCTAGTGAAATACACAATAAATAATATGATAACATTTAATTAAATAAAATAATCCAGCACTGATTTTTTTATTTAGGTGAAATAAAATATTAGACCTTAAGTTTGTACTGAATTCCATAATGTCTTTATCAAGAAGAAAGCTCAGTGTATCTCTATCAGCTTATGGGGATTCTGAATCATTCCTCATTAAATGCTCAGGTGTCTGGAGAAGAGGATTATGATCCCATTTTACATATGAAGTGGCCAAGGGCAATACAGTTCCACAAGTCCAAGATTATACCATTAGAAAATAGTGAAACTGTGATTCAAATCCACTTGTGATCTTGTTTTGAAGAAAACACTTTCTACCTTATCGTATAACAGTCTGTCTGAGTTTATGTATATACTTTCATGTGGCATAGTCAAACCAGAATCCCTTACTAGTCTTTATTACTTAGTAGCTGTGAGACCTTGGATAAGTTCCTTGGTTTTATGTGTCTGAATCCCCTTTTGTTTGGATTAGAGAAAATTATTATCTACTTCATAGGGCTTTAGTAAAGAACTAGCAATTTCACATTTGTGAGTCTGTAAAAACACGCACAGCAGTTACTACATCTGGTATCTCCTCTCTCTCTCTCTCTCTCTCTCTCTCTCTCTCTCTCTCTCTCCCCTCCCTGAAACAGGGTTTGAGAGATGGTGCCAGTATATAGTCCAGGGCAGTCTAGAACTTATAATCCTCTTGCTGAAGCCTCCCAAGTGAGGGATGGCAGGCATGTGACCCCATATATGGCTGCTGTGCTTATTTTTTAACTATGTGGTCTATACGGAGGAGTCCATGACTTGGTTTTGATTTCATGCATTACCTTGGTACAGCTCAAAAGGTAATTATAGGGAGCCATGTTTTGTTTTCCACTGTTTCAGTATTCCCATACAAGAATTTTCTTTATTCTTCTCCATTGATGGATGAATTAGGGGTAATGTGAATTGTCTCTTAGAAAGATTATCTGTAAACCTTCATAGCCACAATGAACCTCCTTTTCAAAATACTTTGTGACTTTGACTGCCATGGGGCATGCTAATTGATCCCCTGCTACCCATGCCCTTTATCACTTCCTCCAGCTTGTTTTTGTCCCAGGAAACCCATAATGGCCATAGAATATAGATTGAGATCTGCCAACCCATTATGTACATGACAAAATACTTTGGACAGTAACTGATAAGCAAATATCCTCAGTTGCTGTAATAGGCATGTTTCTATGGGTCCCTCTTCCCAATCTCAAATTGCCACCACTCAGTTCACACTAGTAACTATTGACTGTTTTGTTTAACTGGCAGGGCCTACAGTTTGGTACCAGTGAACTGGAGGAGATGGGAGCCATGTTCTGCTTGGGTCTCCTGATTTTGGAACTCAAATCTGTAAACTGTAGCCGTCAGTTCCTGGCTCATGCTGCAACGCTGCTGAATGCAGAAAAAGATGTTCTGGACCATCACCTCCAGAGGTAAGACAAGGGAATGACTTTTGCATTTCTAGTGGAAGTGTCCTGGTTAAGAGGATCAATGAGTCTTTGACATACAGAAAATAAGGATGAGCTGTCAAATGAAGGTAGGTGCAGTTGTGCTCTGAGAAAATTCACACTTGAAACATCACACCTTGTTACTAAAATCCCTTCAAGGCGACACCTGGCATTCTGCCCCCTCTTCTTGCCATCCCCAAAACAAAGCAAGGTGCAAATTCCCCAAACCACAGATTGGAAAATCCTAGGGAGTATATCTGGGCTTCCTAACAGCACAATGGATGAGGGAGTTACAGAGGTGTGGGTGAGGGTGGTCTCGCCTCTACATTGTGGCAGGGACCCTGTAACCTCCCAGTGGCTGCCCAAGATGGCAAAATGCTCCCCTCCCCCCCAGTCCCCTGTTCCTATCCTTAGTCCCTCCCCAATTACAACTCAGGCTAGTTGGTTGGATGGAAGGCATGACTGACTGTCTCTGCCCTCCCTTCCTGTGAGTGTCAACAGTTAAGTTTGTTTGTGGTGATCAGAATAAGTGGATGAATAAAAACCTGAGAAGAAGGCATCTTCCCACAGCTTGCCAGTCTAGCTTGCCAGGCAGAGGACAAGTCCATGAAACCCTCTACTCTATCCTCTGGTTCTTACATTTTTCTGCCATCCACTTCTGCAAGAGTCCCTGAGCCTTGGAGTGGGTGACAGCTGTAGGTTTATCTTTTTTTTTTTTTTTCATTGTGGTGAGACAGTGAACTCTTGGGTCTTTTTATTGTCTATTTTTAATGGACTGTTGGCCCCTTTTGGCAATATTAATCCTACTATAAAATCATAAATAGAAAGAAGCAGGAACATCTAGACAAACATTGACTGTTATTATAACCTAATGTATGGGTGTAAACACAAATGCTTGGATGGGTCCTTAACAGGTACACCATATTCATCTAACAAAACAACTATAGTGACTTCCCCACTGGGACCTATAACTTCTCCTGCCATCAGGTGTTGGCCTGACCTGCAGTACCAGACGTGTGTTTCTTTCCAAGGAGCAGGCCTTACATCCAATTAGAAATTTGTTGGTTGTACATATACTAGTCATGCCACTATTGCATCAGGCACTTCTTGCTTGACATGTGAATCATGCAGCATGTGGATTCCATCATTAGGCAGGACTGTAGGGGACAATTCTACCTCAGCCACTTACATAACACCTTCTGGCAGTATGAAGGCCATCCATCCCAGCTTAGTCCCAGCTTGATCTCTCCTTTACCTGCACTCACATCATGTGGCATCTTCAGTAATAGGACATTAGGAGCTTCTTTTGTTGTGTAAACAACATTACTGGCAATAGCTTTTATCAGTTTGAGGGCCTCCAGGGCCTCTCTGGCCAATGGTTCATAAGGGGCAACCCACCCCTGTTACTGGAATTTTCATTTAACAATTGTACAGTTTTATTTTTATAAGATATATGTTTTCTCTTTGGCATCTATAGGCCCAAGCTGTTGTAGACTTTTCCCAACCAGCCTGGGGGGTATCACTTATGCTTTACTCAATGATAAAGCTCCCAAGAATTCACAGATATATCTGGCCCCTGTGCCCTTTGTGAATTTACTTTCCATCCTGGTTTTTGAAGGTATACCTGATGTCTCCCAAATGGGTTCCACATCTGTAAAATACTCAGAGGATAGCATTATATGCTAAATCAAACAAAACAAGTTCTAACACAGCATGGAAAGATTTTATCCATTTGTATCAATTGTTTTCTCAACAGATCTATGTTGGGTATAATAGCACGGGAGAGAGACAGACATCAACTTAGTTAGTTCTTCAGTTATCTTTTTGGAGCTATTTCATATCCTGGAGTTTTTACATGGAGCCTCCCTGTATTTCCATATCTACGATGAACTCGTTGGGGCTGGCTCAATTTGCCTGACCCTGCACAGGGATAAGGAGGAATAGGACCCCTCTTGCCCCTGTTGTATCTGTTGGTTCCCCGGGTCAGGTAGGCCCTGGGTCTTCTTCCTGGCTGTAGCCATATCTGCTGTCTCTCTATTGAGTACACCTGCCTACTGGGGGAGGCCCTGGCTGGGCAAACTGCCTCTACCCCTAGCATAACCTTTCAGGAGAGAAATGTACCCTATTTAAACTTTGGGAGTCATTATCCACCCCTGGGACAGTTCTTATCTTTAGTATGCTTTCTGTATATGAAATGTTCCTTGGGTTTTAGAGACTTCCAGAAGCTTCTCAGCACAGAATTTGGCTTTTTTCAACTTTTTCTTTAGGAATTTGGGTTAGACACAAATCTTGCCAGAATTTTCCAGTATCTCCTTCTTCACAAAGATCCTGCCCCACTATGGAACTAAGCAAAGCCATTAAAGCTCCATACTAATCGAGGTCCCTACTGAATCAAGTTCTTCTTTAAGTCCCTGGTGAATACAATCCTATCTGACCCAGTGAACTGGGCATCATACATTGCTTTTCTCATATATAGTTATCTCAGTAATACCTGTCCCTCCTCTATTGTCCTCCAGCATGGGAATCTCCATTGGAGATGGCCAAGTATCTCTAATGGCTTTTACAAGCCAGTATATCAGAGACTGATTCCCCCTGTACTGTCTCAGGTTATGTAGCCTATGTCTCAAGGAAGGATGGGTAATTATGTTGTTCAACTTTAATGCTTCTGTAGCACTTAAACTAATATCATTTGGTCCCATGTTCCATATCCTCACAAGGTGGTGAGGGCTCCTTCACTGTTTGCTTGAAAGTCTTCCCTAGTTCCAACAGCTCCAGTGTGGCATGTTCTCTGATTGCTATAGTCTCTCGCACTGGACCATTGTTAAGGCCTTCATCAGCATGCTGAAACATGGATTTTTCAACAGTCAAGTTTGTTTGTGGTGATCAGAGCAAGCAGGTGAATCCAAACCTGGGAAGAAGGCATCAGTCCATAGCTTACCAGTCTAGCTTTCCAAGTGGAGGACAAGTCCATGCTACACACCTGTGTCCTATTGAAGAGGTGGAGGATGCTGCCTGCTTGTACGCAAATCTATAAATATAAAACTTCATTTTGTGATTTATATTTATAAATATATTATTAGTATATATTGATTATATTGATTATGATTATGTTTGGTGACACACTTTAACACATACAGATGCGTTTTGCCAGTTGCTTTCGTATATGCCTAACAATGACATACTTTTACCTATCATTCTACTTTAAACAAGGGAAGGGCCTCATTGGCAATATGTAGACACTTATGGGTTAGTGTCTCTTTCTCATACAGCACTCGTACTGAGTTAGAGGAAGATTTATCATTGGCCAAGAGAACCTGACTCATGTGGCAGAAAGATAACGTCTGAGAACTTAGCATCATTAGCAAGTCAACGGAAGGAGGAGCATTATCCAAATTAGCCTTTTGAGGTCCTTTCCTATAGACAAATATTTTAGCCTTGACCAGAATAAATTCAGGGACAAGAAGGGAAAAAATAATGGGCATATGTGAGAAGAGAGGACCAGGAGGCGCCAGAGGCTCCAAGGCAATGGGACAGATGGGGGATTCACTGACTGTTGGTAAATGAAGCATCTGACCATGCACTTCATATGTAAAGGCAGATAGAAAAAGCATTAATAGGAACTGAGTCTTACTTCCAGCTCACTTTCATTAGTTTTCCTTTTCTTACTGTTAGCTGGGACTTCTCACCAAACGGCTAGTCAAGCCTAGAAAGATCTAATAAGCATACATTAAAACTATTCTGGAAGTCCCTGTTTCTTTGGGACTTAATTGCCTAAATGCAGTAATTAGCTTGCTCATCACAGAGTGCTAGATCACAGGCATAGAGACTTAAGTAAATCCAGACCTCCTTCCTCCTTAGAGATGCTGACACTCTTTTCAATTGTTTTGACATCACAACGGCTTCTGTCTGCCCCTGCTCCTTCAATACCCTCAGCACCCAAAGCCTGGGTATGTTTAGCATTATTGCAGAGTTTTCAGATCTCCCTCAACAGCAAGTGCATCTACCTGCCGGGGCTTATATTTCCAATTGTCTTTTTAATCTTCTCCCTTGCTAAGTTATCTTGGGTTTAGGCATCTCTGAATTTTCTTCCTCGCCTTGCCCTCTGCCCTCAGCTGTTCATTGAGGGAAGACTGAGCAGAACTGGCATTGCTCGCTTTCCTGAATTGATTCTGCCCATCTGTTTGATCCAATGCAGTGAGGATTAGTTGCCTGTAAACTAGAACAAGAAGAAATCTATCAAAGAAATGCCTTTTCTAATTCAAGTCTAAAGAATTCAATGTCAGGCTTTGAATACAATAGCTGCTGTGTAGGTTGTCATAACATAGTTCTAGCTGCCTCTGGTCCAAAGACACTGAAGCTCAAGGTCTTCCCCTGACCTCTGTCTCTTCCCTGGCTAACACAGCAGCTTAACGACTGGATGCCTCAACAAAGAATATGATTAAAATGATGCTTTGGAATATATTTGAATTACCCCAGATATTGTTTTCAGTAGAAAGCAGCAAGGGAGAAACTATTTCACCCAGTTATTAAAATCACAATAATACTCTCCTATAATGTAGTAGTTGATCAAAAACTACTTAGATGACCTGAAGACTACATAATTTGGGGGAAACTCACTTTGGAAGTTTTTTGACTCTAAAATATTCAACAAATTCATACTCTTTAAAGGATGACAAAGGGGAAGGTAATAAAATAGAATCTGTTGATTTGAAACCAACAACAGGCTGTTTGAGTGCTACTTGATTAGTTTCTATCCAATGAATAGTGTTAAATCAAGAAATATAATAATTCACAGAGCAAATTATAGGATTTCACTCAAAACCAGGATTTTATAGGAAATACTTGTCACCAGCTCTCTGTATGTTTTATTTAATTTTTTATAAGAAAGAAAAAATTTGTGTATGTATGTGTATGTATGAGTATGTGTGGGGGGTACATGTGTGGTGTGTGCACGTGTATGGAGGGTATATGCCTGCCCACGTACA